GTGAAATAAGCCAGGCGGAGAAAGACAAGTGCCAAATGATTTCCCTCATTTGTGGAGTATAACAATGAAGCAAAACTGAAGGAACAAAATAGCAGCAGACTCAGAGACTCCAAGAAGGAACTAGTGGTTACCAAAGGGGAGGGGTGGGGGAGGGCAGGTGGGGAGGGAGGGAGAAGGGGACTGAGGGGTATTATGTTTAGTACACATGGTGTGGGGGATCACAGGGAGAACAGTGTAGCACAGAGAAGGCACATAGTGGATCTGTGGCATCTTGCTGCACTGATGGACAGTGACTGCATTGGGGTATGGGTGGGGACTTGATAATATGGGTCAATGTAGTAACCACATTGGTTTTTCATGTGAAACCTTCATAAGAGTGTATATCAATCATACCTGAATAAAAAAATTTTTAAAAAAAGAAAAGCTGGCCCTTGCATAGCTACCTGCACAGACCCTGGTGCACACCTCCATGCTCCCTCCTGATACAGGTGTGCTGGCCACTCCTCTGCCATGATCCATCCTGACGGTTTCCCTCTTCACTGCATAAGCTTGGGCTTTCAACGTATTTTAAGATCCATTTAACAGTTCATTAAATATGTCCTGCTTAGTAGAACCATCACTAAGAGGTAAATGTGTCTTGATCATTTTCTGTCAAAACTTGTGTTCTAACCACGATAGGAGAAACAATTACAAACAACTAAAAGCATATCGATCTACAGTTTGAACAACAGTAAAATGAATGAGCATGTAACCCAATACCGGCCAATGAAGACAAGTCAGCTGCAGGACTTGGGGAAAGATTTTCTCGTTCCTATTAAGAATCACAGCAAAGAGATGTCACCTTTTCTTCTTCTGGATGTTGTCAGGTCTGTATGACATCTGAACTGCTCAGCCATCCTGAGGAAAAAGGACCCTCACAGGGGAGGCAGAGCCCAGCTCCTAGTGTCTGGTTATGAAGATAATGTATCTCCCTATGGTTTAGGGCAGTTGGTGGAGCTTTCTCTCACCAGAAGAATCCCCATGCAGCAGGGGCTTCATACCCTTCTAATTAAATGGACACCTCATTTGCTAAAAATAAGATCCCAAATACTGAGAGTAACTTTTTTACATAAATATATTTGAACTCACTCTTCCTCAGTACAACTAAAAACATAAAGATAGATTCTGTAGTTTAAACAACTCTTTGGTTCTAGTCGGATTAAAGACTGTTTCACCCATATAATAGCAACACTTTAAAACTGGTTCCCAAACTCCCCTGCACTTCAGAGTTGCTGTGGCCAGGGTAAAAGGGAAGCAGGGAAGAGCATTTTGACAGGTGGATCTGATGATAAGAGGGGCTACATTGTATTAACATTATTATGGAGTCACTACAGGGAGGTGCAAACAGAGGTGGCTGAGGGACTGGAAGAAAAAAGATAAAGTAAAAGGCATTTGGGGGGACAGTAAATTAACTTTTACACAATGGTGAACAAGCCTCCCTGGGAGTAGAATAAAGCATAAAGGGCCTGGGCAAGGACTGCTTGCTGAAGGTGCTGCAGGCTTAATGACTAAACCAGTGGGCCAGGAGCTCCCTCCTCTGGCAGGAATACACACTGCACAGGAAATGGCTGACTTTTTTTTAAGGGCATTCACCAATCTCTAAAAAGTGTATCTCTGAGGTTTTTATTTGTAACTTGGCAAGATGTTGTGCTTTCAGAAAGAAAAAAATAAAGGAACACTATAAACACAAGCTACACATTTGTTTGTTTATTCAAGTCTCACACCACCACACCAGAGCCAAGTTAATCTTCATAGTATTCTTCCATGTGTGAAACCAAACTTCAGGGGGCTTTTAAGACGCACCATTCAGTGAAACTGAGCAAGGCTAACATATTTAGACCACTTGATGGCAGAAATATTTCTCAATCATTGTATCACCAGTTCCTGACACCCTTGAACTTGCTGGAGGACCCTGTAAAAATGTTCACTAGCGATTGTGTTGCCCTGGTGGTTCTCACTGAGATGATATGAAAGTCATTTTTCATTTATACAAAATAAAAGGATGGTAGAACTCTGTCAAACTATGAGAGATAAACTGAAGATGCAAGGTGCAGGACAGGCTGCAAAGCAGTATGCTACCACCGTCTATGTGAGGGGGAATTAATAATTAGGAGCTGTGTGTATATGCACAAACTGTGGAATACATTCTAGCAGCAGTGGAGAACTGGGTAGATGGAAGACTTCTCATTACATACCATCTTAACTTTGTACCTGAAACACAACTAGTATCTACTCAAAATATTAAAAACAGAAATGGGGCAATAACCATGAAACATAGAAAGTCCCAAAGCTGATTAAATTATCCCAAAGAACATTATTAAAAATTAGTATACATGGGTTTAAGGTTATACTTTGCAGTAGCATTTCAACAGCAAAAATCTGTAAACAAATGTTGGACAGGTTGCATAAATCATAGGGAATCCATACAATGGAATATTACCAGTATTAAGAATGCAGATCTACACTGGCATGCTGTACTACTTAGTTCAAAAAAAGAGAGAAACACTGTTGCAAAGGTCCCCTTTTGTGTATTTAAATGCGTACAGTGATGCATGTAATATGGTGTTTAAGGGGAAAAGTCCAAAATATCAAACATTAACAGTAGCTATTTAGATAAATAATTGGTTAGTAAAAATAGGTAATAGACTATTGTTGACTTTACAATGTATGTAACACAGTGTAATTAGAGGAAGATGCAAATATAATCCTAACATTTTTTTCCTGGGAGTTGTTTGTATGGAACTTTCTAATTGACTTTGATGTGCTTGACCTTTAACCCTTTTTCTAAGATTTCCTAGTGTTCCCACCTTTAGTTAACAATTCCTCTCATTAAACACTTCAGTTCAAGGAGTCCAATGTTCTTCATTGGGTTCTCCATCAGGCATCTGCATCCCAGCACCATCCACACACGTTAGATCAGACTGATGCTCTAATGCCAAGAACTTTGTAGCTTTGTGTAACAGTCTCCATTCATCTTTGGGGACATCAGGCTCTAACAGCAGGATGACCTAACTTCATTTTCTGTTACCAGCCACTTAACCTCTTGTACTCACACTTAAGAAAAAGCCCTCATCATTAACAGATTTGGGAACCCTGCAACACCTTTCCAGCAGCGGTCATTTTCAGGTGGCCACTGAAGTTTTTCCCTCTGTTATGACCACTCTTATTTAATGAGCACCAAAGTTTGTTACACAAGAACTCCTAGTGACTAGTGGTGGTTCCAAGTGGTGTTCTTTTACGTTGCTTGACCTGTATGTTGACTTGCCCGAGGACAATGCAATTCAGTGAACTACACATCATACACACACAAGTGAAAAAAAAACATTGAAATCTTAGATTTCAAATGGCATTTTCTAGCTGTGACCCCTAAAGCAAAGACTTACTAAGCCTGTTCGCTTCCACAGTTGGAAGCAAGTTTCTCCCACTTCAGGTTATGCAGACACTCTAAAACTGGGAGTGGTGCTCCTCACAGAAAATCTTTCAAGTCCATTTATGGGCCTGATTTCTGGGGTGCTATATTAAACAAGCTTCCCAGAAACTTTGGTTCTATTCGTTCCTTACCAGTATCATCCGATTGGGTAAATGCTACTATAAATTTGCAAAGGATGACAAAGGACTAATTCACACACCATTACATACAAACCCTTTCTAAGTCACTTGAAATCAAGGAAATTACCCTGACAATTTAATTCAGCAGTAATTGTTACCATTTCAACCAACTGCTTTCATAACTAATTCCTAAATTTCTTGCATAATGCCTGACAGGTATAGTTTTATATTTTTGTTACCTGCCACAGCCTTCAAAAAATCTGAACTTTCCAAGCAGCCTAATACGAATTTAAACAGAGCTACATATTACAAGGTTCTTCCCTAGGTTTCCTTCCAAACACACCTGCCCTCTTAGTATCTTTCCTCCTGGCTCCATAAACTTTCCCATTCTCACACCAGGACACATCCAAACTCATTATTTTTAAATCCTGTGATTTACAAGTCTAACATTTAAGTGTACAAATGTAATTTCTAACTACCAACTTGATCTTTATTTCCACCCACTATTAAGCCACACCTTTGCTGATATTTCTCTCCCAGTTGCCGCAGAACCATTTGGTATAAAAACCATGATCCCTCACAACTCACCTAAACTAAAAAGAACCTAGACACATAAAAAATAACCACACTATTTGGGAATGCAACAATTTTATTTCAAAGAAAAGTGCAATGGAACTGTGGAAAGCTTCTAAGGGGGAACTTAGACACCTCCCCTCAAGCGGAGGACCAAGTGCAAGGTGGACTCCTTCTGGATGTTGTAGTCAGACAGAGTGCGTCCATCTTCCAGCTGCTTCCCGGCAAAGATCAACCTCTGCTGGTCTGGGGGGATGCCCTCCTTGTCTTGGATCTTGGCCTTGACGTTCTCGATGGTGTCACTGGGCTCCACCTCCAGGGTGATGGTCTTACCGGTCAAGGTCTTCACGAAGATCTGCATGCCACCTCTGAGACGCAGGACCAGGTGCAGGGTGGACTCCTTCTGGATGTTGTAGTCAGACAGAGTGCGGCCGTCTTCCAGCTGCTTCCCGGCAAAGATCAACCTCTGCTGGTCTGGGGGGATGCCCTCCTTGTCTTGGATCTTGGCCTTGACGTTCTCGATGGTGTCACTGGGCTCCACCTCCAGGGTGATGGTCTTACCGGTCAAGGTCTTCACGAAGATCTGCATGCCACCTCTGAGACGCAGGACCAGGTGCAGGGTGGACTCCTTCTGGATGTTGTAGTCAGACAGAGTGCGGCCGTCTTCCAGCTGCTTCCCGGCAAAGATCAACCTCTGCTGGTCTGGGGGGATGCCCTCCTTGTCTTGGATCTTGGCCTTGACGTTCTCGATGGTGTCACTGGGCTCCACCTCCAGGGTGATGGTCTTACCGGTCAAGGTCTTCACGAAGATCTGCATGCCACCTCTGAGACGCAGGACCAGGTGCAGGGTGGACTCCTTCTGGATGTTGTAGTCAGACAGAGTGCGGCCGTCTTCCAGCTGCTTCCCGGCAAAGATCAACCTCTGCTGGTCTGGGGGGATGCCCTCCTTGTCTTGGATCTTGGCCTTGACGTTCTCGATGGTGTCACTGGGCTCCACCTCCAGGGTGATGGTCTTACCGGTCAAGGTCTTCACGAAGATCTGCATGCCACCTCTGAGACGCAGGACCAGGTGCAGGGTGGACTCCTTCTGGATGTTGTAGTCAGACAGAGTGCGGCCGTCTTCCAGCTGCTTCCCGGCAAAGATCAACCTCTGCTGGTCTGGGGGGATGCCCTCTTTTTCTTGGATCTTCCCCTTGACATTCTCGATGGTGTCACTGGGCTCCACCTCCAGGGTGATGGTCTTACCGGTCAACGTTTTTACGAAGATCTGCATTGTCTTTTAAAACAACAAACATACAGAACCCAAGAATTTAGCAGGAAATTCTTGTAGCAATCAGTTTCTAATAGAAAAACGTCATTTCATACAAGTCAAATAACTAAAAACCTCTTCAAAAAAAGCTTAAACAAAAAGGGACAGGCTTGACAAATTACGTTTCAGGCCCTTACAAGAGAAAAGCACACTTACGACACCCAACGCCCAGTAAGTTCTCAGGTCTCGCTCCTCCCCCACCCCAAACCTCCCCCCGGATGTCCGTCTCCTGACCGTTCAGCACCGTCCACCCCAGGTCCAGACCGTCTCCCGCAACTGTTAAGGACCTAACTACAGACACACTGCCAGGCGGTGCCCTCGCCAGTTATGAGCCAACAGAGAGGGGCAACGTGACGGAAGCGCTGCGTTGCGCAGGTCCTCCTCCCGTTCCGGGGGTGCAGGGCCTCTAAGAGGTGCCTGCAGTCTACTGCCCCCTCACTGCAAAGAGAAACCGAGTCCTCACGCCAGTCAGGCCGTGAAACACTTACAGCAGATCCCCCAGCACTGTCCCTCCGAGTCCAACAGAAGCTGTGCCCTCCAACGTTGAGGGGATTCCTTTCTACCCTAAGTCCCATCGCCCCTCTCCGACCTCGCAGCACGCTTCCCAGCCCGGCATCACCCACTAGCGATCGGAAGCGGCCGCCATCTTGGTGCATCCCTCCCCCTCAGGGCCGCCCGACTCGCGGGCCCCGGGAAATACAGAGGCTCGGCTGCCCCTTCACCCCCAGCAGGGAACCCTGCCTACCGCCTCCTGCCTCCCGTTTCCCGCGCGGCTCGACGGCTACACGACCCCGAGCCAACAAAGCGACCCTCCTCACCGAGCGGTGGCGGCAGCAACGTTCAACGACAGTACAGCAAACTGGCAGGGTCGACAAAACTGCTAACGCCACACCCGGCACTCCCTTATATAGTGTCCTGTGATGGGGCTTCGTGGATCCCTCCGCAGAAACGCCGAGAACGGACTACTTTTCTCAGCCCCTCGTGCCCAGTGGAAAGAAAACCGGTCCATCAGAATCACCTAACTCCCCCACGAAAACGTTCTCCAGTTAAGACGGTGACTCTGGGGCTCAATCCTGCGGGGAGTAGACCACTCGCAGGAGCCTCCCCCAGCGACCCCCCAACCCCACCCCTGCCCCGGCGGAGGGATCAGCGCGTTCGTTTAGAGCGGCGTCAGAGGGCGTGGCCGGCGGTGGACCATGGAGGCGGGGGTGGGAGGTGCGAAAACCCGGCCCGGAGTCTTCAGGGCCCCCGGAGCAGGTTGTCCCGTTTCCCCCGACTCCTCGCCCCCGAGCCCCAACGGTCTCCGCCGTTCTCGAGACCAGCCCTAGGCGGACGGAACTCGGGACGAGCGTCTAGCGGGGTCGGGGTCTCGCTCCCTCGCGCGCCCCGCCCTGTCCCCCACTCCTCCCGTGAAACCGGGGGTCTTTATTCCGGGCCGTGCTGTGGATGAAGACTGTGGTTTTGTTCGTGCAATCTCCCCTTCAGTCCAGGGTCGGTCGCGGGGCCCCGGCGCGAGCCCCCAGCATTGGCGGCGGGCCCATCCCCCCCGGTGGCGGGCGCCGGGACAAGTCCAATGACTCGGCAAATCTCAGCTCGGGTGCTGGGCCCGCGGGGTGGCTTCAAAGCAGACGGGCCGCGCCCAGTGACAATCGCGGGTCTTTGTGTGGCGTGTCTACACGGAATTTTGAAAAGAAAAGCGGAGATTCCACATGGTTTGTGAAATTATTTGAGCTGGACCCGGGAACTAACAACTTTCTAGATGGTGCCTTCCTGTTCAGTCTGCACAGCCTTGGCTTTGACCAGGTTGTACGTGATAAATAGGAAGGCATCCCAATGTTATTTATGCTGATGTTTAGTTGAAGTCAAGTCGAACCTACTTAAGGCTGGGGTTTTAAAAGTCACTAATTGAATCCCAGTCCAGTATATTTCTGGTGGGGGCGGGGAAGGGGATTTCAGTATCCTAAATACGAAATTTAATTGTACGGGCAAATTCCAATTGGATAAAAGAAGAGAGAAAGATCGCCAGCCAGATCTTTTTTTTTCATTTTTACAACATTGTTCTGTGATCTCTGTGTGTCGTTTCTTCAAAGTGTCATAAAATATATGAACAGGGTGAAAACCTGAAACAGTTTTTGAAAGTTAACAAGGAAAAGTCCCTGCATGTCTTCTTCAATTCACTAGCCATTGTCCCTTCTGGACTTTTCTAGAAATACTCCTTATTTCCAAGGACGTGGAGGAGGCAGAGAGAGAATATTTTAATTTACGCCCTTAAAGCCTTCCAAAAAAAGAAAGAGGCAACTTACTAAAAAATGTTATGTCATTAGAAGACTGTAATTCATTCCTGTTTTAAGTTATTAACTGCATTCCTGTTTTAAACAGACTTAAAATGTGAATCCAAACAAACTGCTATGTTTCTTTGGTAACCTATGTATGTATGGATGGATGGATGAAAAAGGTCTGTGCCATGTTCAAAAGACTAACCTCTGTTAATTCTTAACACTTTTCAAAGACAACTTACACTGTGAAATTAAAATGAACAATAAAAATAAAAAGTCGTTTCTCAGGTTAGTAGGAGACCCCAGTGACCTCCAGTACAGATTTCTGTGAAGACTATGTCTTTCTAAATTTCTGGGAAGTGGTTTTTAAGGGAACAAAACATTGAGGCTGTTTTTAAGATTATTTCCCTCTAAATTTCAGGAAGAATTTTTCAGAGGAAGAAAAGCTGAGGTTCTTTCCAAGGTGACCAGGGATGGCTTCAAACCAATCCTGTTTGGTTTTGGCTGTAGCTTTGCTGCAAACCTTGTGATTCAGGTTGTTTAAGGCTGAGTCACAAACTTTGTGACAGCTTTTTTCCACTCCAAAAGGTACAGAGAAAAAAAGGCCTGATTTCAGAGGCAGGGCTGGGAGAGGAAAAAGAAGAGAAGAGGTAGAAAGGAGGTTCAGAGGGAGGAACAGCCCCAGGATTATCACCAAAGAGGAAACAACATTCTGTGTGCTGAGAACACTGATGTTGATAGCAAAAAAAAAAAAAAAGCCCTTGAAACACCACTGCATTCTGTATCTTAAGCCCAACAGTGGGTTTTGTTGACGCACATAGAAGTGTCCAAGGGGCGGGGAGGTGAAAAGGAGGGGAGGTAAGAGTGACCTTTCCAAAGGGAAGTGGCTCCTGTTTCCCTGGAGCAGTGGTTCTCAACAAGAAGTGATCAGGTCCTGTAGTGGACTTTGGCAACATCTGGAGATACTTTCAGTTGTTTCACTATGGTGTGGAGTGGGGCGGGGGCAGGAATGGGTACTACTAGCATCCAGTGGTAGAGGCCAGGGCTGCTAAACGTCCTACAATGGACAAATGTCCTACAACACAGTTACCTGGCCCCAAACAGCAGTTTGGGGTTAAGAGGCCCTGACCTGCAGAGGATTTTTGTTCTTATCATAAATTGCTTTTCTACCGAGAAGGGCTTGTCCCACTTGGACTCAGGGATTGGGTATCGACTCACGCTCCTAAAATCCCCTGACCTAGAATGCAATGTGCTAGAATGTGCGAGAAACAGGATGAGTCATCGGATCCATTTTAAGTTCCTTTCACCCACAGATCCGTCCTTTGCAGGCGCCTAGAAGAGATTGCTTCAGAGCTGGCACCAATAGAAAAGTGACAGAGGCCCAGCAACAAGCCGGGATTGGTAGGCAGCCGTGAGCACGTGATGGGCTGAGCTCACAAAGGGCCTGGGTGTAGGGCTATTGGGGCAGGGAAGGGGTTTGGACTGGAACCATGGCTGTGCACCTTACCTTTCTTCCTTCTTCCCGAGGATTCAGTTACCCTGAAGGTCGCAGCCTTGTGTGGGGGTTAACTTAGCATCATGAAAATGTCCAAGAGCACAATGATCAGCAAACATTTTACCCCAGGAGAAAGGGGGAAACTGGGGGAAGGTTTGCCTTGCTTTGTCATCGGTTATATAACCATATAAGGTAGTCATGTGTAGCTGCCGCTTACGGAAAAAAAGAAAAAAGAACCCAAGGGACTTTATTCCTTTTCCGGTGTACATACCGTGCATTATTTGCATTGTGTGGCAGAACACAAACTGCTCCAGTTAAAAATAAGTTCATCCCCCACAAGTCAGAACATCAGACTTAAGTTTCAGTCCCCAAATTTCCCTACTTAAGGAACATTAAGAAGTTAACCTACTGGGGCTTTGTTTTGTTTTAATTTGTTGTTTTTAAACAGTGGCAAAAAACACAGGGCATAAAATTTACCATCTTAACCATTTTGAAGTGTACGGTTTAGTTGTGTGAAGTATACTGGAGGGGAGGAAAAAGAATTTTCTCTTTACCCTTCTGAGTTCTTAGTTGAGACCCCTGTGTGAAAGACAGATTAACAAGAGAAAAAGAAAAACGCAGACGTTTGTTAACATTTATATTTCATGTGTACACGAGAGATTCCCCTGGGGAAAATGAGTAACTCAAGGCTTTAGAATTGAGGCTTAAATACCATCTTAATAGGTAAAGAGGAGGGAAATGTAGACCTTTTAGGCCAGAGGAAATGATTTTTAGGGAAGTATAGAATACAAGATTTAATGATAGTGATAATAGAGAACAGAAGAACAGATGGGAGGTAGGCTAGTTTGTGACAGTCTGGTGCCAGATTCGTAGTCCCGTCTTGTGACAAGAACCAATCAGTTTTCCTTTGCTGGTCAAGCTCTGAGGAGACCTCTGACCACAGAGCTCCTTTTGGAGGATCTGTCTTTGGGCAGATTAGGAGCTCAGAAAAAGCCTCTCTCCCTGCATCTGCTGTTCTGTTCTTTAAGTGTCTTCAGCTCGAATTAATATCAAAGTGGCATATTTTGGGGTGGCATATTCTGATTCCCTTCAGTCTTCACATTGCTTTGCAGCCATCACCACCATCCATCTCCAGAACTTTACATCTTGCAAAACTGGAAAACCCTGTTCCCATTGAACAATTCCCCATTCTTTCTTCCCGCCAGCCCCTGGCAACTGCCTTTCTACTGGTCTATGAGTTTGACTCATCTAGCCCCTCACATAATAGGCTTTGTTTTTAAAGTGTAAAATAAAATATAATGGCTGTAAAAGACGTGTGTTTTTCAAAGATTCACTTTTCTAGGAAGCTCCATTTCCCAACACAAGCTTTATGGTCTTTTTTTTTTTCCTTGTTAGTGTGCTATTATAACTATTTAATTACAAGATACAAGTAAAACAAGTATATAATTATTTTGTGTTAGGCCTCATAACTTTAGAAATAATCTCAGCATTTGGTTCCCTCTTGTTGACGTTTAGGGAGAAATAACCTCCACAGAAGCTCATTAGAACCAGCAGCTGTCACCAAAACACCGCCACTCAGCTGGTGAGTCATTTCCTGAGTTCAGTGTCATCTAAAAAATGAAGTCTTTGCAAAGAGTCAGGTCCCTCCAGATTTAAGATGAAATGTTTTTATGATGTAAAATATGATGTCAAATCAAATGAGAAACAGGATTTGATGCGTGAAGAATTCATTATTACTGCAAAGAACCACCGAAAGCAACAGAATCCCTGCTTTCAATAAAATGCGTCTTCTACTTTTAATGATAAAATACAGCTATAGTGTATGAATATTTAAATACAAACAGTATGTGCACAAAAGCCATTCATTAATTCATTCCTGACCTGTTGATAAAGCAGGAAGCAACATACCACCTTCTGAGAATGCTGATTTCCTTTTGGGTCAGCTCCCTGAAAATGACAGGTAGATTTACTGAGAGCACAGATAAAGAGCAAGGGCCAGCTGAGCTCAGACCTTTGAATGAATTTCACACTTGCCCTCTGATGGCCAGGAATGAATAAGCAGTTCTCCAGCCCTGTTACTGTAACACGATGCCAGGAAACATGCAGAATGCTCCCCAAATGCTCATCATCCCTTTTGCTGCGGTTTTAGTAATCACACCAATTTGCCTTCACATTTTTCTGCCAGTTTCTCCCCTT